CAAAGCGTCGCGAAGCATAAAATAGTGCCGCGGGGTTCAGTGGGCGTACGCAGGATTTTTCGAAAGGGGGTGTTAGGAGCACGCAAAGCGGGGGGGTCTGGGGCGGGCTCTCCCAGAATTTTTTGAAATTTGCATTCCACAGATGCGTTTTATGAGCGAAGAATGGGGGGTCCGGAACCTGGACCCTCCCTTGTACCACGCCCCTGGAAACTCGGTAGTACACTGATACCTGCTGCGCTTTGCACTGACGGGTGGGGTCCGGGTTTAGATCATGATCATCAGCTGCGTTACGCAAATATTTTAGCGTAAATCTTGTGTGCGTACGCAAATCGACGGGTTGCCTTAGTGCGATTTATCAACGCAGTTATTAGTAGTTTCGCTTTATAGTGATTAGGTATGCGATTTCGCGGTACGAAGCGAATGCCGTTTTAGGTGCGATTCATCAAGCTAAATTTACGTAAACCTTTGCGTTTAGGGAGTGTGTTATGTGTCAGCAGAGAGAGAGAGAGAGTAGAGAGAGAGGTTTGTGGCGTGCGTCCAAAGGACCGCTCCCGGTTGCGTCGCTGTTAGCCCGTCTCGTGTGTGTGAGAGAGAGAGAGAGGCTCGGGTGGACTTCTGTGTTTGAGTGTTTATAGGTGACAGGAGAAGAGTAGAGTAGAGAGAGAGGAGAGAGGGGGGGGAGGGAGGGGAGGGAGGGACTGGAGGAGGACTTACTTGCGTTCGTCGTCGAAGTGCGATCAGATGCAGAACTGCATCTTGTTTCGCTGCCGTCATTCATCATATTAAAGCTACTCACAGCGTCCTCTCGGAATGCCGCCACACCCTCGGTACAAGAGAGAGGAAGAGAGAGAGAGAGACGAGAGAGAGAGAGAGCAGAGAGATGGGCGCGATGCGAGAGAGAGAGCAGAGAGAGAGAGAGGAGAGGAGCGCGCGAGCGAGAGGAGAGAGAGAGAGAGAGAGCGGAGAGAGCAGAGCAAAGAGATGAGAGATGCGCGAGAGGAACAGTAGAAGTGTGTGCTGCGGCAGCCGCCCGTGTGTGTGTGTGGTTGAGAGAGAGAGAGAGAGAGCTGTGCGTTGAATTGTGCTGTGCTGTTGCTGTGTGTGTGCTAGTGTGTGTTGCTGTGTTGTTGTGTGTGTGTGTGTGTGTGTGTGTGTGTGCGTCCGTGCGTGCGTGCCGTGCGTGGCGTGTGCCGTGCGTGCAGCGAAGAGAGTGGTGCTGCGGTCGTTTGTGCTGTAGTCTGTTTAGTTTAGTTTGAATCACGCCATACTTTATCCATTTACGTAGTACACTACAGAAAAAACAGTCGACAACGTGCATAGACGCCTACACTAGCTATTATAAAAGCTGCGTTTGATAGCTAGCAGTGATCAGTAAAATCGTGTGAAATTCTTAAATGCTTACGATGTAAACAAATCAAGTCTTGACATAATAATGTGTTGGTGCAATCCAAGTCTGCCCAATCTACGAATCTGCCGACTGTGGTGGCAGCTCATTGAACTGTAGCCACCTAAACCCGTGATAAAACTGTCGTGGTAAGTCGGGATCTTTACCTAGTTCTTCTTTCTTCTTTCATTTTTTTTCTCTCTTTTTTTGAATCTTCAGGGGCCGATATTTGTTACAGCATCCCCCTCCTTTCTAAGAGCAGGGGAGAGTGCATTCCATCCCGCCGGGATTCACGCCCGTGTTAGTGACTGGCGATGCGCTGGCATAGACGTAGTGCAGCGCGTAGCGCCTGCACGGGAGCGGAGCCGGGGACGCGGGGTGCCTCCTCGAGGGGTTCCCCGCCTCGAGTTTGAAAGAAATAATGAAAATAACGCCTCAAAATACCGCATTTCCTTGCACATTTTTCTGTATCCTATATCATATTTTTTTACTTGTGTTGTTTCATTAACTATCATGATTTTGGCCAGAGAAAAATTTGCGTGGTTACATACATTCCTTTGGTGACTCACATCATTATTGGCCTAATAAGGCGACTTGGGTCTTTGACAGTATCTTCCACACCACACCCACGATGCAAGAATACGCAGTAGAATACGCGCCCGCGCCCCCCGCTTGACCCCGGACAAGGCCATGCTCCTCAAACATATTACGCAACGGCATTGCTGCCGGGCATAGGAATCAGGAGGTAGACGGGGAGCAGGGAGTTTGTGCACAGTAGTTCTGCGATCATAAAATTTTATAGCTACAGGTGACCTGAACCGCTGCATCTGACCACTGGTCTTCCGCTTATAGGGCCTAGATTAACACGCTATTATCATGATATATGTGCCGGCAAAAAACGTATAAAATTATTGAAAATATTTTGCGTTACGGAAAAATGTATGGCCTGGAAAAACGTGCCTGCGGGCGGTCGCGCGAGCTTGCCGCAGGCAGGTTCCGACGCCCTTGGTGCCCGTCTGCTTTGCCATGTTAGTCTGTGCGCGTGTTAGTTCGACGCGATCCTCCATAGTGTTGGCCCCAAACACAGCCTACTTCATTATCACAAACGGTCCGTACCACGTTCATTACAATCCGAGCTACTGTTACCAGGAGCGTATAATGACAAATGTGTAATGCGTATTTGTCATTATACGCTCCTGCTGTTACGTTATACAGTTACGGTACTTGTACTATCGCTAGCATTTGCGTACGGCCGAGGCGAAAATGCATGCGTCGTGCGTTTGCATGCATGCTGCGAAAATGTCCGGTGGACTATAAATCTGTATCACACCCGTTTCGAAGAATTGCGTTTCGAAACTGTAAACAGTCAGTCAACTGATTTCGTGGACTGCGGATTTTAATTAGACATTTCTTAGTAACCAGCAGTGATATTGGAGCAAATAATACGCGTTTGGCCTATAAGGTAAATGTACTTATTAACTACACAAGGTGCCATTTACTCTAGCATTCGTTAAAATTGCATAATCGATGGGCCTTACGCCTATTATGCCTTTAAGCGAGCCGTGCTCACCACCTAGATGCCTTGTGTTGCAGCAGAATTTAAGCGAGCCGTGCTCACCACCTAGATATCTTGTGTTGCAGCAGAATTTAAGCGAGCCGTGCTCACCACCTAGATGCCTTGTGTTGCAGCAGAATTTAAGCGAGCCGTGCTCACCACCTAGATATCTTGTGTTGCAGCAGAATTTAAGCGAGCCGTGCTCACCACCTAGATGCCTTGTGTTGCAGCGGAATTTAAGCGAGCCGTGCTCACCACCTAGATGCCTTGTGTTGCAGCGGAATTTAAGCGAGCCGTGCTCATTTCCACTGGACACACGCTCAGCAATCACGTCGTTAACACGGTCTTCCAAATCTTTGACATCGATGGCGATGGGAAGTTGCACCACAAAGAATTCATCTCCATCATGAGAGATCGGCTACACCGCGGCTTTAGGGTAAGGGTGTAGGGTAGGGGAAGGAGAATGAGGATCCACTGTGAGAGGTAGGCTTAAAGGAACTGAGTAGAGGTTGATTTAGTGTGGGAAAAGGTTTGATGCATGACGTCAGGGGTTAATTATGACTAATTTGTCATTATTAACCCCTGATGACGTTAGGGTGCATCAACGTGAGGTGAAGCTGGCACGCATATGCAAAGTAGTGGAGAGGAGGAGAGGATGAATTATAAGACTAGGTGGATTCTCAATAGAAGGGGCATAGAAAAGAATAGTCGAGGCTGGTAATGAAATGTGGATTAAAGAGCACCATGCAGAGAAATAACGTAGGAGAGAAATATAGAGTTCAGAAGCTAATGAGAGGTTCAGCAAAGGAATCGTGTGCTGGGGCTGTAACTAACTGGGGAATTATTGTCGTTACAGGCACAGCTGGATAAGCACGAAGGCTGGGAGGCATTCAAGCAATGCGTGAAGAATGAGATGAGAGATGCCTGAAATCGAGTAAGGTCCCATTGCCACAGACACGTTCCCTCGGACCTCAAGCATGGTGGGACAGCTAATCAGTATGCCTCTCAGAGAGAACTCGAACCTTGTAGTGCACACAAGCATGCAGGGTCATACTTTGGCAGTAGTTCGCACTTGGTATTGTTAATTTATACAAACACTAAACTTTGTTTACTCAAGCTTAGAAAAGTGTTAGTAATATCTATGTGCTATATACTTCTGCAGGTAAATGTTGGTTAAACATGATGACTGTGGCCTTGCAAATATCATGAGCAATACTAAATCTAGCAGCTAGTGTGTAATCTGCCATGAGAGACCCATAGTTAGTGTGAGAGAATTCATTAACCTTAGCAGCAATGTTTGTTTTGCTATTCATACCGTACTCAGGTTAAGGGGAATTTCCCAATTTCTTGAAAATTCACAATGCTTTTTAGTCACAACGTTATGTTCCAAATGCATGTGTAAAATTTAGGATGTTCTGTTGAAGCAAGACATGAGTTTTGTTTAGCTAATGAAAATCACCAAGCCATACATATTTATAATGCGAGTGCTTGAACAAGTCCACCATAATTATTTTCAAGCTATAGTAGATTGCATTGTCTAAATCACTCCTATGAAAGGCAGAAGGAAATCACAGTTTTCCGATTTTAAATTGCTAACTTATTTATTGTACATTGTATAATTCTCGCTTATTGAATGCTAAGGCGTGATAATGGAATATTGGAAAAAGTTATGAATTTAATATGTATGGAACATTACACTTTGGCATTAATTCACTGTAAATATTTAATAAAGTTACTTGTTTTGATTTAATACAATCATATTACATTATTGTAAAAATATCTAGTTTCATATTTATGTTTCTATAAATGACATGTACACATGAAACACTGTACACATGACACACTGTACACCAGATATAACACGGAATCGCCTATAATGCAGTTGAAGGTTCTCCGTTAACTAGGAACTAGTTGACCACTTTTTAGCTCATCTGACATAGTCAGATGCAGCTGCTTGTAGAATCGCATGATCGTCCGTCCGTGCGAGCGTCAACAGTTGGGCACAAATCTAAACGG